CCAAAAAACCCCAAATATAGTTTTGGCAAAATTAGATAGGCCAAACGGTTTTGAAGACACAAGACAAGTGATGAATACACCATAACACACACACAAAAAAAAAAAAAAGTTAATGATTTGTAATTTGTTAGTGCACGGATAAAAAACATTTTAAGGACATATATCATATATTTACGTAAATATAGTTTGATCTTATTATCTATCATTATTGTGGAAAATCTAAAAAGTTGCTTCAATTGGTAAGACATGAGATAAGAAATCAAGTCTTTCACTAAGATTTCGAATAGTGGTCCTGAATTCAAGTAGGCCTTTTGACATAAAATTATAATTTTCAAAAAAGTAATATTTAGAGTAAACTAAAACAAATAGCATTTGAAATTTAAAATTATGCTTGGACATATGTTTCACTTGAAAAATGTTAACCACTTTTTTATTTTTGAAAACCTCATTTTCAAAAAAATTATAAAAACTTGCAAAATGTCATGAATAAATACGTTTTTAAAAGAGAAAACTCGGAAAAAAAAATCTATAGACAAACGGGGACTCAAATTAAAAATCAGATCTGCAAAATGTAAAATCAAAATAAACAAAAAATTATAAAGAGGGATACGTTTCTGAAAAATGTTTTCCCATTTAGGGAAATATTACTTTCCATCAGACAATCATTCATAATGATGAAAATTGAATTTGGAAATGCCATCATTCCCTTTAGTTGAATATAAAAAGAGAGAGAGAGAGAGACAAACTGAAAGACCAAAGAGAGAGGTTTTGGTTGTGGTTTTGATCAAATCCAAAGTGGCTGTTGTTGTTTTCTGATCAATTCAATTGACAATGTCTTTTTCTTTCTTCAAAGTTTCAAGGCCTAAAACCCCATCAGAACTTGCCAAAGCTGTCAAAGACAGTTTTAATGCCCTTGATTCCATTACCGTTGCTGAAGTCAAAGCCCTTGAAAAGGTAAAGTTTCTTTCCTTTTTTTCTTGGTGCATTTGATTGCTTACATGTATTTTGCGATTTGTCATTTTCTTGACAAGGAATTTGGCATATTGTTTAGGGAACTGGTTTTTGTGGGTTACTTTTGTTTTTTCATTTCTTTGCTTTTTTATTTTTCTTGGCCCATTTGCTTCTTTATGATTTGGCATATTGTCTAAATAACCAGGTTTTCTGGGTTTTTTTTTAAGGAAAACATACAAACTTTATACTCAACAGCATGTTGGTGTATATTAGTTACATGTATTTGTGATTTGCCGCATTGTTTAGGGAACTGGGTTTTGTGGGGTTTTTTTTTCCCCTTCATTTCTTTGCAGATTTCAGGAAAAGATACAAACTTTATCATACTCAACAGCATGTTTGTGTATATTAATTAAATTATCTAATTTGTCCCAAAAAAAAACAAAAAAAAAAAGGGTATCGGCTTGATTATTACATTGATCAGCTGTATATAAGCACCACCAACATGCTTAAGAATCAAGATAATGAAAAAGAAAATGGAAATGAGCCTATGCTTTGGTGGTTTAATCTTAAATTCATTGCTCAAAATATCGGTAAAGTTGTCTCCGTGTGACCTATAGGTAAGGGGTTCGAGCCGTGGAAGCAGCCACTAATGCTTGCATTAGGGTAAGCTGTCTACATCACACCTCTTAGGGTGCGGCCCTTCCCCAAACCCGAATACGGGATGCCTTGTGTACCGGGCTGCCCTTTGTTGCTCAATATCAGGGTGCGCGTGTGATGTAAGGTTAGTGATCTTAGTTGTCAAATAAGTGAGCCTATCGTTTGTTGGTTTAATCTTAAATTCATTGCTCAATATCAAGGTGCGCTTGGTGATGTATGGTTAGTGATCATAGGTGTCAAATGAGTGAATTTAGTGGTTGAGTGGGGAACTAATTACTACTGATTCAAATTTCTAATCGTCTAGGAGGGAATGAGCATTACAACTATGATTTTAGGGCATGAACTGACTACTGAGATTTCTATTTCGTTGTGTATTTGTATTCTCTATGCTGCATATTGGGGTGCTAAGTAGGAAAACTTTTGGGAGGGGTAAAGTGGTTACATTTGTTGGATTGAAAGATTTCCTATTACAGAAATTTATTTCAAGATAGTTAATGGAATGATTCTAGAGCTGTATTTCGATATTTAAATTTGTAAGATGGACTAATGGACAGTGGCGGAACTGAAAAAGACAAGCTTGTGGTGTTGCAGTGCACAAGGTTTTATACAGAGCTAATACAAGAAAATAGATTTAATGTAGATTATGAGATAAGTGTTAGGTAAAGTTAACTTAAAATGTCATTGCAATTTCCTTTTAGACTGCGCTGCTAAACATTATTTTTCATCAGAAAATATAATTGATAACAAATTTGAAAAAATGAAGTAATATTATTTTTTTTTTGACTAATTTAGCAAAGAGAGCAAGTTTTGTAACTGCTCTTTCTAAGTTGAAAAATCATTTTTGTCCCACAATAATGGAAACAAATGAAAGGCTTAACAGGGTAGTTATCTCTTCTTGCTTGGTTGTCTTTCGTTTAGAATCTGTTCCAAAGAATGGTAATTCTTTTTCAAATATTCCTTTCTTTGATACAGGCTATGGAAGAAGTTGAGAAAAATATTGTGGCAATGAGAGTTATGCTCGCCGGAGATGGAGAAGTTGAGCCAAACCCAGATCAAGTTGTACAACTAACACTTGAAGTTTGTAATGAAGATGTTATTGCGCTCTTCATTCACAAATTACCTATTTTGGGATGGGAAGTATGTTTTTTTATCTTATCTGTAAGGAAATTTAATCTAGAATCTAATTTTTTGCAGTGTATTTAGTTTAAGACTCTATGACTAATTATTATGTCTTTTGCTTAGGCTAGAAAAAATTTGGTCCATTGTTGGTCTATTATGTTGAAGCAAAAAGTTGACTCTGCATCTTGTTGCGTGCAATACATGGAAAACCATTTGGAATTGCTGGACTTCCTAGTTGTTTGGTAAGCAAGTCTAATTTTTTGTTCATGCACATTTGAAGAGAGTAGAGCCACCATAATTTGAAGATAATTGAAATTATTTTTAGAACAATTCCTTCAGTTGTAAAGGTTGACCTTTTTTATATGTCCCCATTTTGGTCAAGGTGGTGGTGAAAGTGCTGGTGACCTTAAAAACTTAGCACCGCTACTTCCTTCTTCTATTGTTAGTCCATCCTGACTGATTGACTTATATAATTATATATTGAGGATTAGGGGAAGTAATCATCTTTTCATATGCTGATGGGAGAAGTCGTTTCAAACATATAATGCTTCATTGGCTCCATGCATTTTAATATTCTCAGGGTGAAGAATTGTTTTGTAAAATTTTCTCCTTTTATCTCCTACTTCTGAATTTAGCATACAAGAAACTCTTTTATTTTCTTCGAGTGGGATAAAGAGGTTATTCCATTTAAACATCTCTTGGTTCAATTCTTCTGATTACTTCATTACATCTCATTTTTATGGCCATTTAGTATTTGAAATACTAAAGTTGTAACTGTCATATATCAATGCTGACCACCAATACTTGTACTATCGATGTGCTATTTATCCTTACAACAAGGCCCTACCATATCTATTATTCTATCCTGTTTTGGCAATAACTATGACAACTGACAAAAACGGCGCTACTTTTATTAAGCATGTAGTAGACGATGCTTGTAGGATGTTGGCCAAACTTGGCAAGTTGGCAACTGTAATGCCCTTAAGGGTATTAGTATTTTGTGTAACAGGTTGGAAGCACTTTAGTATGTTCTAATAAAAATCCAGATTCTCATTAAAAAAAAAAGACATTAGAGGTTATGACATCTGCATTAGAGGGTCTCTTCCTCTCGCAATAACATTTCCACTCCTTTCTTTGTTTCCGTTGTCCTAGTTGTTTTATGAAATCTCTATATGACCATGTTTGCTTTGGTAGTATAGTGATAGTGTGTGAAGAAAAAGAAAATTGTGGATTTAGATGAAACATCTGTTGGTGAGTTAAAAGGATAAAACACCATGGTACTAGAAGTTCTTGAAAGAAGCTGAAAGCTGAAAACAAATATGATTCATTAAAAAAAATCAACCCAAAATCAACCCTTATCCTTTAATAGTTGGGTTATGGGTATTTTCCCCCAAGATTCTATTGAAAGGTAAAAAAGGTAATCTTAAAACCACTTCATAAAATTTAAATTTAAAAAAAAAAAAAAGTAATCTTAAGACCTAAAATTGTTACGATCAAACATAATGATGAAACATTTCCTGAACAACTGGTAATTTTAGAATCCGGGCATTAGATATGGATAGCATTCATCCAGAGTCAAAAGTGGCTTATTGGCTTACACATGAACGCCCAATGATCTGTTCCACTCTCGATAACCTTCTAATTCTTTTTTTCAGATAAGGACAGTGTCAATACATACTAATTCTCAATTTAGATAGTAGTTACAGTTTATTGTGGACTAATGTTATTGAATAATATCAATCCTCATGATACTAAAACATTCTGCTTTTGCGAGCAGCTATGACAACAAGGAAATTGCGTTGCATTGTGGAGGTATGCTTAGGGAATGCATAAAATTGCCACGCCTTGCAAAGTAAGATATTCACACTTTCCTAATCCTGGTTGTTGTGAAGAGCTTCTTCGTCACTGTCACTATGTAACAACTCCAGGACGTCTCTAATTGAAAACAGGAAGTCCTTCATGCAGATTCTTGGTCCATTTTAGTGTCTCCTGTTTATTAAATTTATAACTTGGGTTTTCACGGCCGTAACTTGTAACATTGAATTGTAAATGTTAAATTGTTATAAATGACCCTTGCTGCTTTACCATTTGTTAGGAAGATTTGTCAAGTTCAAATTTAGAATAATGCTTCAATCTGTTTTGCCTCTTCCACATGCAAACACTGCAGCCGTCTTTCCAGTTTCTTTTATATATCAGCCGACTTGTGATGAGTCTCTGCTTTCTGACAAATGGAACATCAAGTACATCTATAAGAATAACACACAATGTCACTGTTAACTGCTCTATGAATTGGTTAGGTACTGTTGCAAGTCAAAATATAAGCTTTGATGTACTCTCTGTACTCTAATAGCGAATTAACCTCTTGTCTTAGCATTTCTTTTGTAGTCACTCCAACATTTCTTTTTCTCTAGTACCCTTGAAACTAAGTTTTCGTGATGGTCGAACCCTTGTTCGGCTTAATCTTACAGTCTCATATTTTGATTCTGACATTCCACTTCCATTTATAAAATCATATTCTATTTTGAACCTGTTCCACCAAAATTGATTTTAGGCTTTTCGTTAACAGCAACTGCATAGGAGTTTGAACAGCATTAACTCTCACTTAGCACCATGACTAGAACTGGTTCATTGGCATTGTATAAAATCTCCTATATACTTAAGAGGTAAAACATAAGAGCTCACTGCATTTTGGCGACAAAGAACTTCTCCATATGCAATTAATGATTTGCAACTTACTATCTTGTAAACCAAGGGTCTATCAGAAAAAGCCTCTCTGCCTCTATAGGGTAAGGGTAAGGCTGCGTACGCACTACCCTCCCTAGACCCCACGTATGGGATTAAGCTGGGTTTGTTGTTGTTGTTATTGTTGTTAACCTACTATCTTATTCATGCAATTAATGTTGTTGTTATCTTATTCATTTACAAACTCGCTAAGTTGCTTTCAACTCTCAAGTCGATCAACCATATGACAACAACAACAACAACAAAAAGCCCAGTGTAATCCCACAAGTGGGGTCTAGGGAAGGTAGTGTGTACGCAGACCTTACTCCTACCTTAAGAAGGTAGAGAGGTTGTTTCCGATAGACCCTTGGCTCAAGGAGAATCAATCAACCATATGAGTCCTTTAAAATCTTCAGTTTTTTTAAACTTCTTCCAGTGTATTTGCCATTTTAGCCAAGATCTTCATTGCTACTTTATTTCCTGGAGTGGATTCACTTTTTAGGTCCATATTCTTAAAATTTACTAAGCCTCTCAAAGAATTTGGTATTTACATCCCCCTTCCCAAATTCTTTCTTATGCTTTTATGTACCTTCTTTTAGATACATCTTGGAGTCGCCCAGCTTTGAATTGTTCTTCAAGTTCGTGGAGCTGCCGAATTTCGATGTTGCTTCTGATGCATTTTCTACCTTTAAGGTCATATTTTTTCAAGTTCAAGATTGTGCTTGCTATGCACAATTCTCTGTGAATACTTCTTTTAACATATCTTGGAATTTTGCAGGATTTACTCACCAAACATGAATCTGCTGTGTCTCAATACCTGACGGATAACTACAGTGAGGTCTTTACATCTCAGATATCACCATTATTTATCCACTGATCATTCTTACGTTTACTTTTTCTTAATACCTATAAGTTACTTACAGTTCTTCGAGCAATATGAAAAACTCTTGACTTCTCCTAACTATGTGACAAGAAGGCAATCTCTGAAGGCTAGTTCCCTTGTCAATATTCTCTCTCTTTTGATTGTTTCAACGGTTCTTCCGCTGCTGATAAAATGTTTCATGAAGTTTAGCTTCTCTCAGAATTTCTACTGGAGCCCCCAAATTCCCATATTATGAAGCGTTACATAGCAGAAGTCAGCCATTTGAAAGTCATGATGAATCTTCTCAAGGTATTCTATGTTGTCTCCGCTTGCTCTCTCATAGTAATTTTGCATTGGTGAGGATTACTGGCATATGAGTGTAGGAACTGTTGCGTATATAGTGTGCCGCGTCGGGTATAAAATTCTGTTTGTCTCCCCCTCCCCCAGGATGCTTCTCTCAATTACGTTCTTTTAGTCTGCCCTACTCTTTCAATTGTTCTCTTACTTTATTTTTCTGAACATGTAGGACTCCAGCAAAAACATCCAAATCTCTGCTTTCCACATTTTCAAGGTGATATTTTCTTGCCTTTAGATATCCTGCTTTCTGATAAGAGGGGAAAGGGGAGGAAGGTATCTATATGCTAACTTGCTTGGACTGTGGGAATTCCCCACTTGAAAATCGGAAACTTTTGTGTGCATAAAAAGTAACATCAAATTTTCATAGTAATATCTCATGGAGCATAATCTCTTGTATCCAAGGAGCTAAGCAGATTACTTGGCTTATAATTGTGTAGATCTCAAAATACTTAGAAATGGAATCGGATGATTAATAGTTGCATTACACAATCTAGAACATTAAATTTCCTGAAGTCCTTTCTTTCTCAGATGTTATCGTAGTATTTCTTTAGCCATGATGATGTTACATCTGCTATGCAGAAATCCTATCTTACATGTTGTGTAAGCATAATCATCAATAATTCCATCATGGTACGTTAGATGTGTACTGCAAAAATGAACCTTTTTACTTGGCTTAGTCAAATGTCAATAGCAATAAAAGACGCGGTCAAATTCAAGAATTTTCTATTGGAACGCAAGTTTCAGAAATGACCCATAGGGAGGTTGCAAATTCTTGAGGATTTTGTGGCAGTGCAGATCCTCCTTCAATTTGATTCCATCAATGCATCATGCTAAAAGAATATGTCTGAAGTGTTTATGCGCTCTCTCTCTCTCTCTCTCTCTCTCTCTCTCTCTCTCTCTCTCTCTCTCTCTCTCATTAATTAAACATCTATATGTCTGTGGTCCGGCTCTTTTCCTCATCCCCGTGCATAGCAGGAGCTTAATGCACCCGGGTGCCCTTTATGTCCTGTTCACGTACCGATTAAGGTATATGTACTCCTCATGCCTATACAAAATTGTTGTTTCTGCTCATGCAGGTGTTTGTCGCAAATCCAAACAAGCCTCGAGAAATAAAACTTATATTGGCAAAGAACCATGAAAGGTTATTGGCATTGCTAAACAACCTTGGAAAAGGTAAGCATATGAATATATATATATATAAAGATAATCTTCGTCAAGGTACAATTGATCTTGAGGTTTAGCACCAGTATATTCTGAATTATTGTGTGATACAGGGGGCGAAGACGATCAATTTGAAGAAGAAAAAGAGCTGATTATGAAAGAAATAGAAAAGGTGTCTCGGTTGACTAACTTGGAATCTTAAGTACATTCCTTTTCTTTTCATTTTGCCATTCGATCTCATTCTTTGAAGTTATAAGAAATGCCACTGTGAGGTTGCTGCTTGTTCCAACATCATTTCCCATGTCTAGAAAGAAATACCATGTACTAATCTTCTCAACAAACTTATTTCTCAAATACAATCTTCTTATTCATGATAGATAAGATGTCTATGCTGGTCATATTCTGCGAATTTAAAGAGATGTTAAAGTTAATATATATTTTATCATAAATTGACGTGGTATTGAGGCGTAATAGTTGTTGTTCTTGTAGTACATTAGGTACTTAATGTTTAGCCGAGTCTATGTCACGTCGATGCAGCTAGGGATGGCAATGGGCGGGCCGGGTTTGGCAAAACCCACAAAAATTCAACCCGTCCCGCCCCGCTTAATTTTTTTTTCTTCCTTTTTTATCTATTTTTGAAATTGATTTCAGTTTATTTCAGTTTATCTGTAATCGCGGTAAGCATGCTGTACATTTTTGCCTCCAATAAATAGACCAGTACTGCACATTATTATTAGTTTATTACTGTAACTTTATCTTCTTCAGGTTTTTAATTTGTTTTCTTTATACTTGTATCTAACTTAAACTCTATTCTTAATAATATATACTTAAACAAAATCAGCTCTAAGGATATTTTTTTATGTGCCCCAAATTCCAAAATAGTATTTGTGCTAGTGAAAAAGAATGTGAAATTGTAGTTGAAATGATTGCTTTGTTTCAAAAAAGATAAAATTCAAAGTTGCCCCGCATTGAACCCGCATTAAATCCACACCCCGCCCCGCTTTGAAAATTTTAAAAATTGTTTTAACCCGCCTCGCACCCGCATAAGAGTAAACTCGCCCCGCCCCGCCCCGCTTTGAAAATTTTAAAAATTGTTTTAACCCGCCTCGCACCCGCATAAGAGTAAACTCGCCCCGCCCCGCCCCGCACCCGCATAAGAGTAAACTCGCCCCGCTCCGCATCAAACAAACCCCGCCCCGCCTCGCCTCGCACCCACCCGATTGCCACCCCTAGATGCAGCTCCAATGTTTCTCTTCTCATTTTCTTTCTTTCTTTTCTTTATTCTTTTTGGTTGACAAATATATTTTGCGCAATTCTGCAATAAAGGAAATATGTACTTAGTTATAGCCATTCACAACCTAGTGTTTAAGACGTTAATTTTATGGTTAAGGGGTTAAATTCAAACTACAGGGCACGAGGTCAAAATCAAATGGCTTCACATTCATCACTATCCAGTTACCTGTGTAAACTATTAAAAGAAAAATGCATAGGAATTGCACCACGTATTTCACTTTCATCACCTCTATTTAAGTTAAATTTAGTTTTTAAAACTATTTAAAATTTAGCCAATATCGGCAAACTTCATACCTGCACTCCTACTCCTCCGCCGCTCCTCTTCTGGTGAAAAATAACAAAATCAGACATTAATAATACACTAGTTTCAAGATACGCGCGTTGCGCGTGAACCTCGACTCAAGGATTTTGCTTAAAGGATTACATAATATTATTTTAATATTTATATTTGAGTTACAAAATAAAAGTTAGCGGAAAAATTATAAAATATGAAACTGATAATTGTTGCTTCTATTTTGCTAATAATGTAAATAATTACTACTAAGAATTATATAGCAAATACGAATAGAATATTATTCATAATGTAAGATTAATTAATGAAATATGAAGAAATTACCAAATATTGTTCCATTGGTTTGACTATCTCTTCGAACGAAACGAAACTGTTTGAAAAAGCTATCAGTGAAAAATTGATTGTTGCATTTTTTGACTATAGTATTATTATTGAACACAATCTTAAAATTTTTTTTACACTGATTGAAAATTAGAGATTACGATCATTTATGCGGTAAGTTTATGATGTAACGGATATTGCCTTAAGGAGTTTTACTATAATTCAATATCATGACTAAATATAATGTGAAAAATATTGAATATAATACAAAAATGAAAATAATATTACCTCCTCATATAGAAATGTCAGAATCTATCTAAGGCCTTGATTTGTTGCATTTTTAAATTCTTTAACTACTCCATAATTAATAAGCAAGACTTTTATTACCCTTTGAGAATCAAATTTGCTCAAACTGTTAAGTAGCACATTCATTCGCAAATTCAATTTCAGTTACCATTGTGAGTACCTGAAATCAAATGCACACAAGTAGGGATGTTCAAACCGAACCGGAAAACCGCACCAAACCGAAAAACCAAACCAAACCGATTAAAAAATCCGACTAGGTTTGGTTTGACTTGGTTTGGTATTGAGTAAAAAAACCCGAACCAAACCTACATATAAATATATAAATTTTATTTATATTTTTAAGACTTTGTAGTGATTTTTCTTTAGAAAATGTAGAAATATTTGGGATCCTCTCATGTATTAACCTTGAAAGCGTAAATTAACAAAAAATTATTGTTAGACGACTAAGAAAATAACTATCATGTGTTACTAAAAAATTTCTCCCATTAGAATATTTTAATAGATCATATGTTTGTCAATTTTTTCCATATTTACTAAACATATATTCACTTATCAAGGCTTTATCTATAATTTTAATAACGTAAGATTGAAATAATATTCATGTAACAAAAAAACCCGAAAACCCGAAAAACCCGACAAAACCGAACCAATCCAAACCGATATAATTGGTTTGGTTTGGTTTTGATAGAAACCGAACCAACCCGGTCCATGTACACCCCTACACACAAGTGGTTTAATACGGAAAAGGCAGTAAGTTATCAAAGTCAATCAAAATATTAAAAAATTTATCTAAAAGAGGATTTAGATACTTGGACCAATAATACAGATTGCTAATGCACTAATGTATTTTAATCCAACCAGAATGCGTTACTATTAAATTTGAGGATTGATATGCTTTTTATGACATACAAAAACACACCTCAAAGTTAAGGATTAATATACTTTTTATGACATATATGCAAGAACACATTTCATTTATCAGGCATAATTTTTACGTATAATAAAACCAACTTTCCAATAGTATCATAAATATCATATAAAACTAAAGCAGTTAAATTAGCATATAGTTTATGTAATTCAATATTACGGAATACCTCAATCTTAAAGCTCAAAGAGTAAAAGAAAGATCATAGTTGAACTGCAGTAAAGCTATATAACTTTTAGAACATAATAAATTGCATCATAATAAAGAGATTGTATAAAATATTATTTATAAGATCGATAAGGAGAATTGTTTACTTGAACTAATAAAAACTATCAAAATTTTGGTTAGGTGCAATGACGCCAATTGCCAAGGACTTCTTTAATAACAAAATTTTAAAATTATGATATGTATAATATAGCCAATTAAAAGAGGTAATCAAATTTAATTTTTCCTTACAAAATATGAATTACTTGAGCTGGCATAACAATTAGTAATTAAAACTATCTATAAAGTGAAAATAATTTTAAATTAATAAAATATTAATTGATATGAGTTAGAATGCCAAACCAAATTTACGTGATGAATACACCTGGCCAAATAACCTGCACAACATTCATAAATGAGTCAATTTTATACCAGATATGAGACACTAACCAAGAATCATATATGAGACATTATAAATAAAAATTACAATTGACAAACTGTCGAGTAGAGTTGTTTATCAGTTATCAATAATGCACGAACAAATATATATGTTTAGACACTAAAGAACAAAATCTCTTTGTTTTTAAGGCAAAGTAAATTATCAAGCAACAATTCTATAAAAAAAAATTGTGTATCAAAAGGAGAAGATTTGAGGAACAATCATGTAGCTATTTATAACGGCAAATTGGAATAGAATAGAGGAGAAAATCTTAAAAAAATTGACTGGTTTGATGCAATCATTCAACTAATAGCAATAAGGCACGAACAACCATTATTATAAAATTTCAACAAAATAGTATAGGGTAAAAATTTTATATCAAATCACAAACTAATTTCTTATGCAGACATCGATATTATAAACATCTTATGATAAAGAATATAGAATAATGACTACTTATATTTAAAAAAAATGCCAAGGTTCTCCTTATTCTAGATTGTTGATCACGCCCAACTACGCCTTATAAAAAGGACTCTGCGGACGTTGCAAATATAACCCGAGTATTACGCCCAGGGTCGAATCCACAGAGAGTTAACCTATCAACCACTATCTTCAGACCCACTAATTCTTTAGAACCAGGTTCCCAAATATTCAAATCTCAGTTGAATGTTCTTTAACAACTACGCTTGCAAGTAACTAAATGGCTGTAAACTAAACTAATAAGGTTGTAAACAATTATGATAAAAAGCTAAGGCAATGATTTCCCCTATTGATGGAATCCCTTCTGTTTATGCTCATATAAATTTATCAACACCTCTCTATCAATCATGAACGCTAATCTTACCGTAAATCTCCCGAGTAATCACAGTAATTTACTATTGCACTCTCCCGAGATACACTAGCTTACTTTATTTAGCACGATTCACTNATTCATTCGCAAATTCAATTTCAGTTACCATTGTGAGTACCTGAAATCAAATGCACACAAGTGGTTTAATGCGAAAAAGGCAGTAAAGTCATCAAAGTCAATCAAAACATTAAAAAATTTATCTAAAAGAAGATTTAGATACTTGGACCAATAATACAGATTGCTAATGCACTAATATATTTTAGTCCACCAGAATGCGTTACTATTAAATTTGAGGATTGATATGCTTTTTATGACATCCAAAAACACACCTCAAAGTTAAGGATTAATATGCTTTTTATGACACATATGCAAGAACACATTTCATTTATCAGGCATAATTTTTACGTATAGTAAAACCAACTTTCCAATAGTATCATAAATATCATATAAAACTAAAGCAGTTAAATTAGCATATAGTTTATGTAATTCAATGTTACGGAATACCTCAATCTCAAAGCTCAAAGAGTGAAAGAAAAATCATAGTTGAACTGCAGTAAAGCTATATAACTTTCAGAACATAATAAATTACATCATAATAAAGAGATTGTATAAAATATTATTTATAAGATCGATAAGAAGAATTGTTTACTTGAACTAATAAAAACTATCAAATTTTGGTTAGGTGCAATGACGCCAATTGCCAAGGACTTCTTTAATAACAAAATCTTAAAATTATGATATGTATAATATAGCCAATTAAAAGAGGTAATCAAATTTAATTTTTCCTTACAAAATATGAATTACTTGAGCTGGCAAAACAATTAGTAATT